ACGCAGGATGCTTCGATCAGGATGAGACAATTAAAGCAGGAAAATCATGTTGTGCCGGAGGAACATGTCAGAAGATTGGACGTCGGGCCGGTAGATCGGTTGACGTATCGACAAAAGGCTTCGGGCATTGGACTCGGGCATCGGGCCAAGAAGAGCGGGTATTGTGCCAAGGATATCGGAGTTGCGGAGTCAACTGGCCGATTCGACAATAGGCTGCAGGAGAGGACGATGCACCGAAGAATCGGACGAAGCATCGAGGGACCAATGACATGCCGGACAACTTGGTTAATTGCTTAGGATTAATTGTCTCGATCAAAGTTTTGTTTTAAGTGTGCAGGATTAACTACGATGGAAGAAAGACATGCAGCAGGAGTTGCGCCGGAGTCAAGACAATGATCACGTTGGGAGTTCGAGAGTTCGACGGAAGTTCGGACAGTCGTCGGAGGTTCTGTGGGAACAAATCCGAGAAGTCCATGAGCTTGCCAAAGAAGCTCATCGGAACTCGCCAAGTGGATCATCGCAAGTCCAGGAGTTTGCCGGAAGTCCGCAGGAGCATCACCGAGGGTTCATCGGATGATCGACGGAAGTTCGCCGGAAGCTCGCCGGAAGAAGCGATTGACGCACCGGAGCAAGTTGCAGTAAATGTCTTAGGGAATATCGTAGTTAGCACAATGATTAAGTTGGAAATAGGAGGTGATCCCATTAACTTAATCTTGGGGCAATTGAGCCCCTGAAAAACCTAAATTGGGCCGAATGGATCAACCCATTCGGACCCTGATTTCTACTGGGAGGTGCAACCGCCCCAGCCAGGAGGTGGCATTACCTGGGCTAAGTCTCCGAGCGAGACTGGGCAGTGCAACCGCCATAGCCAGGAGGTGGCACCGCTTGGGCTCAGTCTCCGAGCGAGACTGGGCGGTGCAACCTCCCCTGACAGGAGGTGGCACCGCCTGAGCTCAGTCTTCGAGCTCTGCCAGGAGGTGCAACCGCCCCTGACAGGAGGTAGCACCACCCAGAGGCTCAGTATTCGAGCTCTGCCAGGCGGTGCAACCGCCTCAGTCAGGAGGTGCAACCGCCTGATCCCGGAATTCCGGGAATTAACAATTTTGAGCTCCAAATTTGAACTGGGTTGGGGCCAATAAATACCCCACCCATTCAGCACAGAAAGGGCATGAACTTACACCGAAATCATGATCTTGTTATGTGATTTTTAGAGCTCAAAATTGTTGTAAAGGCCAAAAGTTCTTCTTCCTCTTTTCTTCCAAGTTCTGAGCTGTAAAGAGAAGAGAGAAAATTCTGTAAGGGTTGTCTCCTGAGCCCGTCAAAAGGAGTGAAACTGTAAAAGGCTGGTTGGCCTTCGCCTATTGAAGAAAGGCCTCTAGTTGACGTCGGTGACCTCGTCGGTGGAGGAAGCCAAAAGTGGAGTAGGTCAAGATTGACCGAACCACTCTAAATCTCGGTTTGCATTTACTTTGAGCATATTATCTTTACTGCAAACCTCCTCTAAAGCTTACTGCTTTCTGCGCATATACAATCGTAAGCTTTGCACTTTCCGAATCAGTGTTTAGACGTAAATCTATTTTTTCGTACGATCATCATATTTCAGTTTGCGTTTACGTTTTGATTTCAATCATAACTGCAAACTGCCTTTATATCCTTGCTTAAACTGCATCTTGCCTAATCAAGTAATTTACGAATCAACATTTAGACGTAAATCAGCTTCTTCGTACGAACGTCGTATTTTAGTTTGCGCTTATATTCTGGTTTTCATCATAACTGCAAACTGCCTTCATAGATTGATTTTAACGTCATCTCGCTTGATCTTAAGTTAAAGTAATCTTAGAATCGACTTTCACAGCGAAATCGCTTTCATCGTTCGAACGTTTTTTTAATCGTAGAAAGATTTCCGCTGCACTAATTCATCCCCCCCACTTAGTGCTCTTGATCCTAACATTCGGGAGTTAAGGTTAACTCCGTCGTCGATTGGTTGTCATCATAAAAAAGGGGTAGATTGTTGAATCTCATATTTTGATGATGAAACCAATCAATGTGTTTATGTTTTAATCTACGTTTTGAGTGATGTATGATGCTTCGATCAGGATAAGACAATTAAAGCAGGAAAATCATGTTGGGCTGGAGGAACATGTCAGAAGATTGGACGTTGGGCCGGTGGATCGGTCGACGTATCGACATAAGGCTTCGAGCCATGGATTCGGGCATTGGGCCAAGAAGAGCGGACATTGCGTCAAGGATATTAGAGTTACAGAGTCAACTGGCCGATTGGGCAATAGGCTGTAGGAGAGGACGATGGGTCGAAGAATCGGACGAAGTGTCGAGGGACCAATGGCATGCCGGACAACTTGATTAGATGCTTAGGATTAATTGTCTAGATCGAAGTGTGTTTTACATATGCAGAATTAACTACGATAGCAAGAAGACATAAAGCAAGTTTACCAAAGTCAAGTTCGATGGGTGTTCAAGAGTCTGCCGAAATTCCGAAGAATCGTCGAAAGTGCTGCCGGAACCAACCGAGAAGGAATCGAGGACTTACCGAAGTTTTCGGAAGTCCACCGGAAAGATCGTCGGAGATTCGCGGAGATCACCGAGAAGGTTTAGATACTTGCCAATGACTCGTTGAACTCGCCACAAGACCGGGAGCCTGCTGGGAGTCCGCTGGAAGAAATTTGAGGGTGTATCAGAAGTCCGTCGGAAGTTCGCCGGAAAACTCCCCGAAAGGAAACTCGATGTTGCCGCTTAAAATTTGCTTAGGGCTATGTCTTAATTTCGTAGTTTGCATATAATTTAGGTTAGGATTAATGGTTAATCCTATAACCCAGTTAGGGGCCAATTGGGCCCGAGTTTGGACTGGTTTGGGTCAAGTTTGGAGCCCAACTAGTGAGTTGGAACAGTCCAGGCGGTGGCACCGCCCAGAACCCGAGAGGTCCGATGGTGGCACCGCTAGTACACTACTGGACTGTGCGGTGGCACCACCTAGAACCCAAGAGGTCTGGCGGTGGCACCGCCAGTACACTATCAGTGTCACCGACAAGCGGTGGCACCGCCACTAACAGGCGGTGGCACCGCCCGCATCAGGAAACCCAAAAGCAATTCAAATTTGAAGCCCAAATTTGAATCCTCTTGGGGCCTATAAATACCCCTCAATTCTTAGCAGAGATGACACCTTTTTGACAAGTTAGAAAGTGAGAAAAAGCTCTAACAAAATCTTGTTTTCAATAGCTTAAGTGTTCACCTCCCTCTTTCTCTTTGAAAAATCTGTAAGAGTGTGAACCACTTGTAAGAAGGTTGTAAGAGGGGTATTTGGTCCTTTCCCTTCAAAATGATTTACAAGTAGAAGTTAGGAGCCTCATCGAAGAAAGCTTCAAAAGTGGATGTAGGTCATTTAACCGAACCACTATACATCGTGGTGTTCCTTGAATGTGTGAGTATTTAATTTTTTGAACCATTTCTTTACTTAGCTGCAAATCGTTCAGTTTTCATCTCCTGACTATATTTACTCGAGCTATTTTAGTTAAGTCATCCTTAATCAAATTGAAATCTCTATATATTTACGAAATCGATTTCAAACTTATGACTTTTAATCCGATGCACTAATTCACCCCTCGCTCCGATACTAACAATTCTAACTCAAAAGTTATAAATAGTAACATTTCTTATTATACACTCACTCCATTTTGGTTGTTGCCAACAATAATAACTTGGTCGTTTTCTTGTAAGTAGCGTTTGCTAACGTATTGTGGACGTTAAGATGCGTGCTTAAATTAATTGACCGGAGTTAAATGAAAGCACGAAATTTGATACCCAATTGATTACGGTTTTACGGAGCAATCCATCGTACCCCTGTTAACGTTTTCTTTATATTACCGATATAAATCTGATCATTTTCCAACTTAAGCTCTTAATATAATATGATCATGATAAAAATTTTAATATGATATCAGGATAGGAGATCATTTATTTTATATTATCCTTAGGTTTGAACTAATAGGAGTGCAATGCTTCCTATATTTATCTCGATGTCTTTGCGAAGATACTCCAATGATAGAAACAACAACAATATATATATATATATATATATAATGTTGCACCGACAGCGTCATGATGTTTGCTATCCACTGATATTTAAAAACACAAGAAATACAACTGGTCAACCGCATCGAATAGAGTTGACAAGTATATATTCTTGAATAGAATTCGGAGAGTAATATTCGAATAATATTACTTGTACGATTGAGAATTCAAGTATGAAAAAATATTTTTTCTATAGATAGATACGATGTGTGTGTCAACGTATTGGGTAGGAAACATAAAACTAATTTGGGTGTTGATATTTTTGATTTTCTTTATGGAAGGAGTGTCAAACTAAATAAATATTATATTGATTTTTTGATTTAAATTTTATTATCGATTATTGATTATTTTTCCTTTTGACATGCAAACCACTGTAACATCTGTGGTAAAAAGTTAACTTGGTTTATAAAATTAGGTTAATCTATTACTATTAACTCAAAATTAAGTATAATTAATTCATTAATTATCCCATTAGACCTCAAAAACATCAAATTCAAGCAATCACCAGAATATTTCAACACTTTCAGCTAAGACATTGTGCACATTCGAATAATCATCTAAATATTTTAAGACATTCTCCTGATTTAGTTGGTCCTCTAAATATTTCAATATTTTGTGTTAAGACATTCTGGTGAGCGTAAATACTCCACCATTTTCGGTCAACACATTCTGCAAATCCAATTAACCATCTAAATATTTTAACATTTTGTATTATTATAAAGTATTATTTATAGGAAAAAGAACTATTTATTGACCACGAGACACGGAGGCGCACCGACGCCGTGAAATCGAACGCCCACGAAGGAGGGATGGCAAAGATCCAACGGCCAGGACCTCACCAGCGCGTGCGTTACCGACCACGCTTTCGACTAGTCGACGCCCGTCGGAGCGCACTATAAGATGCGCGGACCGGGCGACGGAACCGAGCGCGGTGCAGTCCGTGCTGCCCCTCCCAAGCCCTCCTCTTACTTCCCTATGTTTCGTTAAATCCGTCTACATCTCTCTTTGTACCCCCGACCCCCTTTTCCTCCCCTTCCGATCAAGCAAAAATCCCCAAAAAATCTGCAAAAATCCTCAAAAAAAGCAGCGATCTCCCGTGATCCCAGATCCTTGTCCCCATAATTACCCACCAAAAAATCCTATCGAAAAGAGGAAGGTTTGTCGTGCTCGTCGTTGTAATCGCTAGGGTTTGTTCCAATAACGAGAGGAAGGGGGAGAAAAATTCCAAAAAATATCTATCCTGTGCGAGAGATGGCGCAGGCTCCGATGCAGCATCAGGCGCCGAACGGGACGGTCGACAACAATATCGCCTCCGCCGGCGGGGGCCACTCCTCGCCGACGTCGCTGTACGTGGGTGACCTGCACGGGAGCGTGACGGACGCGCAGGTCTACGATCTGTTCAGCCAGATCGGCCCCTTGCTGTCGGTCCGGGTCTGCCATGACGTCAATACGCACCGATCTCTCGGCTATGCTTATGTCAACTTTATTAACCCTGCCGATGGTGAGTTGGATCATCTTCTTGTCATCAGTTCAGGAAGTTCGATTTGATGCTTGGATTAGATGTCCACTCATGCTAATTTTGGATATTTAAATTGCTAATATCATGCTATTTATTCTCACACTCTTTTTTCCTTTCCTCATTTGATGGCCACAGCCAATTTCGTTGAGGTTTCTTATCATTTGTTTGACTAACCTGATGAAGTGGCCAATTTCGTTGAGGTTTCTTATCATTTGTTTGACTAACCTGATGAAAATTATTAGTTAATGTTGGTTTTATGTTTAGATACCATCTGAGCAAGAGTGACTATGCTTTGGATTAGGTTTAGTGATGGTGTGGTATCAACGATTGGTAGGGTAGAAAGAGGCATATTGATGGACTACCAGCTATTATAAAAACTCGATCCACATTAAATATGAAGGTAAAGCATATAAGATCCTTCTTGTACTTTCTGAATGAAGTGGAGTAGTTCCTTTACGACTTGCTATTAGGATCTTGATAGCCATGAGTCTCTTCAATTGTCTAGTCATTAGTATCTAAAGAATTTGGCAAGGAAGCTTGAGTTGAGAAATAAGGGTACTCTGGCATTTTTAGAAGCCCCATTTTGGCAGTGGTAGAGTTTTGTTTTTCCCCGTGAAGTATCTGTTTTATATGTTTCAATTGTTTAGGTTGAATTAGTTGTTGTTTGTTATTACATGAGATAACTTTAGGCCTCAATTTTTTTCGGTATGTGATTTTTTGTTAAACATTTTAAGGGAAAATAAGAGTCCTTGATGTTCTAATTTTGACTAGGATGACGAAACTCTTCTTCTTGCACAAAGAAGAAATTGAAATCTTTGTCATCACTTGTTTTGATTGGTTCTTTTTTGTGTTTGTTTATCTTATTTCTGATATCTAGCATTAAGTGCTGGAAATTATTAATATGTACATGATCTTATTGTTTTTGCTGGTTATTCTCCCCTATTTGTGAATGGGGAACTTTACGATGAACGTTTTTGTAGGAGTTTGTGGCTCCTATCTGGTGCCTCATTCATTGAAGGAAGAGAAGTAGCCTCCCAAGAGAAAACAAAAAGAAAAAAAAGAAAAAAAAGGTTTTATTGCTTGTAAAATATTGGATAAATTGAGAGGATGACAATATCCTATTAAAAGAATTCCTAGATGACTTATTTGTGGGCCTATCATTGCTTGATCCCAAGTCATTGTTTGGATTTGGCAAATGATGTCACTGATTGGATGCTAAATCATTAGTGATCAATGAGTTCAATAACTCCTCAGTTGTGAACAAAGCATTGAATGTGATTATTGTGGTGGCTTGTAATTCCAATCTATATCCATCCTAATCTGTATGTTGTTTACTTATATATATCTTGATATCATTTATAAAATTTTCTGCTTCAATTGATTGACCAAATAATTAGTGTATTCAACTTGCTTTGTTGGATCACTGCTGGTGACAGTTGGATGACTATGCATTCTCCTTACATGGAGAGAGGCTGAAGTTCAAGCACCCTAACTTTGCTTGATATGCAAACCATATTATGAGTTACTTGATTAATTATAATCTGAGCCAATGATTTGTTGTAATTTTTTGCTTTATTGGATATACTGTTATATTTGTGATTGTGATGTCATCCAACAATCTATTGGGAGTCTCAAGTTTAGATTTTCTTAATAATTTTCATCAATGTTTGATTGTATCAGCATAGCATAAAAAATTGAAATATCCAATAATCTTAAATCTCTTTGACCTTGCTAATGTCTTAATTTTCTTTTCTAGTATTTGACTAAGAATTGAAAGAAAGGAAAATCCAACAAGAATTTCTTTGTGTTGTTGTCATGGAATCACATTGTGATCCTTGTCCTATATTTCTCCAGATTTAAAACATAAAATTGTACCTGTTCAACTTCATGTGCTCAAAGTTTGACATTGTAGAATCCCATTTTGTTTGCTGTCCTGCATTCTCTCCCAAGAATGTGAATTTTTATATCCATCACCTCGTCACATCATTAAATGAAATTTTTTTACTTTGGCTTCTGTAGTGAACACACTGACATCCTTCTTTGTTTTCTTGTCAAGTTAAATAGAATTTCTGATCACCTAGGAGAAAAAGCCTTAGAAGTGTGTATCTGTGGCAGTAGCTCTTTGGTATGAACAATTATTTTGTTCAGTCCAAGTGTGTTAACTGAATATTTTCATGCTCATAGACAACCCAATTTAAGCTAAAAGAAGACCTCATTCGTTGAAATAAAAACGGATGTATAAATGAATAAAATTACCTACAGGCCCATATAAGCATAGCCGAACAGTTGATCGTGATTTTGGGGTGTGAACAACAGCTATCTAGGCCAATTATCATTCTTAATTTTCTGGAAAGTGAACTTTAAGTAAACCTTTATATAACTTAATGAGCTCAAGCTTAACACAACCATGGGTGTGAACAATGGCTATCATAGGCCAATTATCATTCTTAATTTTCTGGAAAGTGAACTTTAACTAAACCTTTATATAACTTAATGAGCTCAAACTTAACACAGCCACTTGATCCTACCATCTGACTGATCTGATAGACATGAGAAGGAACTCATATCAGCTGGATGCTGATTTGTTCTCAACTTTTTTATGGTTCAGGATGTCATTGGCCTTTGGTCTCTTCCCTATTCTCAATTATTTCAGTCCTTTTCTGTCTATTTTCTTTTTTTACAAGATGATTTATTTCTCTTTCTTTGTAGCTTTTGTCCTTTCCGAAACAACAAACAAAAACATATCTTTAATTTTATTGACTTATTTGATTCAGGCTTTTTTAATCATAAATTCTGTTAAGAGTGTGTTTGTTGAAAAGAAAGCTTTTCAGAAATCAAGTTCCAATGAGTACCAATGTTTGTTATGGCATAAGAAGGATCCAACAATTTAGGGTTGTTATTTTGTTGAATCAGATTTAATCATTTGGTTTTGAGTTTAATCATTTAGATTGATATTTAAAGGTAGATTGGTCCAGAAAAATACTTAAATTAGGTTCCTCAATGTCTGATTAAGCATATTTACCTTTGTGATGTATTAAATTATGTAGTATTAATTTATTTCATTTTATTAAAGAGAGAGAATTGTTGTATTAGTTGTTACCTAGAGACCTTGGTTTCACTTTCCAGAAACTAACTTTGATCCCCCAGCTGAATTCAAATCTGTTAGGGTGGGGGATCTTGCTATGCCATACTTCTACCATTTCTTCTCACTTCTGCTATACTTAATACTGAAGAAGCAGGGTGCACAACTTACATTGAATGCATTTGGAAGTGCCACTTGTTTTAAACCGAACAACCCCTTGTGTTCTTTGTTGGATTGTTATTGTGTTAAATAAGCGGATGAACTGGGACTGAGAATTTGATGAGAAAAGACATTTTTGTTATACCTTACTATTCCTCTTGAATATTCTATTTTGAGATGTCTGATTATAAAAATTTTGCAATTGCTTCTCCAGTTTGTCTAAGCATTTATCTTTTATTGTGCTTCGCAATGCTGATGAGAGAAGGTTTTCCGCGGCTTCGTCAATGGTAGTGTCCTTATGAAAGACAGTACCTTCGTTTTGGGCTTTTGGCATAGATGATAGATCTATTGTGGAGTTTAAGCAATAAATTTATAAAATTGGTTTTCTGCAACATACCTGATTCTTCTGGGCATTGTTTTAAGTTCATTTGTTTCATTTATAATTTTTGTTGTAAAATCCGAGATGCTTGGGTATGAAAGTTGTAGTAGAATCACTATAATGCAGACATTGTTAATGTTACCTTTCTGAAGTTTGAAATTTGTTAAAAATGGTTTTTTTAATCTGATGCTAGCTTTATTAATGCCATTCATGCTGTAAATTTTTTATAATAACTAAGATGATTCTTGTATTGATTAGAAGCTCTTTCACCAATGTCAGACAACTTGGTTGTTTGTCGCTGTTATCATTGGATTATTCTTCATGGTCATTGAGGGCTTTCACTATGTGGAAGCTGTCTCAGTACAAATATTGTGCTAGTCTTTTGATTGTTCCATAAAGATTCTGAGTATGACACTACAAGGGAAAAAAAGTGATGCTTATTTTAGTGTGATGGTCAAATGATTTAGGAAGACTTTTTTTTTTGGATCTGACCCTCATATGTCTGACAGCTGCTACGGCATTGGATGTGCTGAACTTTACCCCACTTAACAACAAGCCTATTCGCATCATGTATTCGAACCGTGACCCTAGTATCCGCAGAAGTGGAGCAGCAAATGTTTTCATTAAGGTACAATGCAATTTGGTTTGCTGTAACAATAACATTCTTTTGTCTTTATGGCTTGCTTGTTTTATGCTACTTACGTTTCCTTTGCAATTTTTTGTCTTGTACTCTTCCCTGCCCCCTCAGAATTTGGATAAAGAAATAGACAACAAGGCACTACATGAGATATTTTCGTCTTTTGGTAGTATTCTCTCCTGCAAGGTCGCAACAGATGCATCTGGCCAATCAAAAGGCTATGGTTTTGTTCAATTTGATCAAGAAGAGGCAGCACAGAATGCAATTAATAAGCTAAATGGCATGCTTGTCAATGATAAACCGGTTTTTGTTGGACCGTTTGTTCGCAAGCAGGAAAGGGAAAATTCTTTAGACAAGACAAAATTTTGTAATGTCTTTGTCAAAAATCTATCAGAGTCGACTACGAAGGAAGATCTAGAAAACATATTTGGCAAGTATGGCAAAATAACCAGTGCTGTTGTTATGAGGGAGGAAGATGGAAAATCAAAATGCTTTGGGTTCATTAATTTTGAGAACCCGGATGCTGCTGCCCGAGCAGTACAAGAACTCAATGGGCATAAATTTGATGATAAGGAATGGTATGTTGGAAAGGCACTTAAGAAATCTGAAAGGGAACTGGAACTGAAAGAAAAGTTTGATCGGAATGCAAAGGAGACAATGGACAAATATCAAGGTCTTAACTTATATTTGAAGAACTTGGATGATAGCATTGGAGATGATGAACTGAGAGAACTCTTTTCTGGTTTTGGTATGATTACTTCTTGCAAGGTATAATTTATCTATCTTTGTACATATTTTGCTCAATTTTTTTGGTAAGTTCTACTGGCCGTTTTATGGATGTGGTTAAATCACAGGTTATGCGGGAACCTAATGGTATAAGTAAAGGTTCTGGATTTGTTGCTTTTTCGGCTCCTGATGAAGCAGCTCGAGCTGTAAGTTTTCCCAATTTTATGTGTTTGGGAAAATGGTAAACTGAAATTTTTTTCCTTTTTATGTAGCTCACAGAGATGAATGGGAAGATGGTCTGCGGGAAGCCACTTTACGTTGCACCTGCACAGCGTAAAGAAGATAGAAGAGCTAAGTTGCAGGTATTTTACTTTATCCAAGTATTTTATCGATGTAATGATCAAGCCTTAATGTGAGTCATCCTATGGTCAGCTGGTTTTAAATGCAGTACCTTCTACTAATGGCCTATCTCTAGTTTAGGATACCTTATTACAATGTAGAAGTTTGAAGGGGCAGAGCTGTGCATTACTTGAAAACATAAGGCACATGTTCTTTGATGGCAGCTCCAGTATCTGAATGATGATACATATTTCATTTTGATGAGTGTTATGCTAAATGAGTGGTATTATGACCTGTACTTTTTGAATTCAAATTGTTGTCCCTGATGCTATTGCTCTACTTTGTTTTTCTTGGCTAGATTGAAATGAATTGAGCATAATTCTTCTGATGTATGAAAAATGCTTATGTAATGTGCTCGGATATCTGAGGAGAATTATGTACTAGACTTTCTATGTAATGGAAATTTTACGTTTAGCCAAAAAAAGTGCTTCACTGATGCTGTTAAAGCAGCAAACAGTCTAGGAGGAATAAAATTTTGTTGATATTTTGGGTTGGTCAAAAAAGCCTATTGATTGTCTTCATTTAGCTTTTGTTGTTCGAAGTTGATGTAGTTTTTATTGATTTGCTATTTACATTTGATTTTATGAGGAGTGACAGGAGAATGTCTAGTAGTGTTTGTCAAATATTCTTTTCTTATTTGTAGTTCTGGGAGGACTTCCTGGATGTGTTTTGAGATATATATTGGTTCTTTTGGGAAGTTTGCTTTTGATTGAAACTTTGTGCATTGTTCACTGGGGACTGGTAATGGGAGTTAAAACTGGTTGACCATTTTGTGAACATATGAAATCAATACTTAGGTTTCGGTTCACTATCATCTACCATCCATCATTCAAGATTTAAACTAAACAAATAAGTCCTGATCCAAACAAACCCATTTCTTTTTTCCAAACTACTGTTTTTTTTGTTCCACCTGCCCAGTGCAACGACATCCTGCTGCTTCGTTTGATTTCTGTAAAAAGATTTGCAACCCTGTAGCATAGTCGCTTCAAAATGCAAAGTCATAAATGTTTCCACAATTTTGACATACAATAGTATTATGCTAACTTCATATTTATGGGCTGTTTTACATTCATCCACGAATCCTTACTACCTTTTTGTGATTGTGTTATCTCTGTGAAACACCATAAATTTTAAAACAGTGACATGTTAAACAATCTTTTATATGGCTGCTGCTTTCAACTTTGCTGTTCACACTTGTAGATATATTCAGATTAGTGTTGTTAGCAGCTCCTTTTTGCTGTTGTTAGAGTTATAAAGTGCATTTTGACAGATAACTTCAGCTGTAAATACTAATTAACCACAACTCTCTGCTTCCAAGTGTGTTTAACAATCTTTTCTGACAACCATGATACAAAGATGGCATAGCAAGCTTGTAGCTTATCCTTTGTGGGATTTTGACATTATTGTAGCAGTGATTTTGGCTCTGATGGTGTCTATGGCTACCACAAGCCTTTTCTCAAGTTTGTATAATTGCTTTTGTTACATCAGATCTGCAGAAAAGTTTCAGGATAGCCATGATTTTCTATCCTTCTGACTAATTTTAAGCTTAGGAACATAAAAGATTCTGACAAGTTATTAAAAATTCACTGGAAGTTGTGAATGACCATAATATTTGGTCTGTATCATGAAGTTTGAGAGCTGCTTTGTTTGAGATGGTAATGTTTATCAATAGCAAATTTGCTTTATAAAAGCAAGTATTAAGCACTTGTTAAGTGTTGGGAAGTACACAGGCACAGTGCATATGGATGTGAATTCATGTCTTTCATGGCCTATCCACCCCTTTATTTAGCGAGATGACAGTGAATGGTCAAGCTTGTATACAATGGGGGTTGATGACTTATTGGAGTGTAAACTCGAGGTGTATGTTGAGTCATGTATCATGTGTCCCTGTGAATGAGTTGCTTCTTAAAAGTGAGACTGAAAGACCAAGCTTGCTTACATGTCAAGGGGGATGAGGAGCATTAGATAGTTTATTGATGAACTTTTATTGTCTTTTGGGAGGTGTTGAAAAAGGTTGCTAAAAGGAAGATGCTTGGTGCAATATTGCAGCACAGAAGTGTCTTTGTTTTAATGTGGTTATGCGTGCAATTGATGGTAACTAATAACAGTATAAAAGCTTGTTGCAAGCACCTTGTTTGAATAATAGAAAAATAGGTATAAAGAGCTCTAGACATTGTCAAACACTTCTAAAATATAGCTTCTTCCAACTCCAAAGTCATCCAAAGGAAATTTGAAAACTTTAGCAAATGAACTTCTTAGATCACAACTGTAATTTGAAGGATATGTAACAATTCACAGAAGTGGCATCAAAAAAGTTGAAAAGGTTAGTAAAATTGGTATAGTTTCTGAAGTTATGGAAGGTCAAATGTCAATTGAGTTAGCAGATCAAGATATTGCGCATGACTTGTTGACAAATGAAGAACCTTCATAGCCTGTTTAAAGCAACCTTAGCAACTGCAGCCTGCAAGTAATGTATCCTGGCAGCACAATTCTTTTTAACCTTGCCCTCCCTCATAGCCTGTTTAAAACAACCTTAGATCCTGCTTATCTCCACTTTCTGAGACCACAAGCAACCAGTTTGGCAGCTGTTATTCCCTTTTCCTTAGACCTTGTTGACTTATCTACATAGCAGCTACAGCCTGTTTAACAAGGCTGGCCAAGAAGCTTCACCCAAACTTGTAAGATGGATTCTTCAGGTTTGGACACCAACACATTGTTGTACTAGTCATTTGTCTCCTGTGTTGGAGCTCTATATTATTAAATGTCAAAAACAAAAATCTTCAATTGAATGATTTAATTAGCCACAGGTAACTGGTATTAAGAATTCGAACAGTCGTATATGGTGCTTATAATTGAACTGCTTGTTAAATTTTGTCAATTTCCTTTGACAAGTATAGTTCTCGACAGGGAGCACCTTGCTGATTTTAGAACAGCATCGCACTGGGAATGCAGTTTTTAGGCTGCCTCAAACTTCTTCTTTATGATGTCTGTCAAGTTTGGATAGCTTCATTGTCCACTTGTCATGCATGAGTGTTCTACTCAGGTGTTTACTTTTGCAAGTACCAAACCAGATTATTTTACTTTCCTTGAATGGTCCAACCTAGTAGTTATGTACAGTGTACTGTTAGCTGGCATGGTGGCCTTTGTACCATTTTGTTTTTATTTTTTACTCTGCCATTAGACAGTACTACCTCTGCATGTATTGTTTACATATATGTTTTTTGGTCATTTTTATCATGCTTTCTATTGGTTTTGTTAATTTTCAGGCACAGTTTTCACAAGTACGGCCAGTAGCAATGGTGCCTACTGCTGGTACTCGTTTTCCCATGTACCCCCCTGGTGCTCCTGGTGTGGGGCAACATATATTTTATGGTCAAGCACCTCCTGGCCTTATTCCACCACAGGTAACTATTATATTGTTGTTATGTACTTTGATTTATTTATTTTTTCAGTCAACAGTGCTTACAAAAAAATTTAATGCTTTTCTTCCATGCACAACCCCTTAATGATACACCTTATGTTGATTGACTGTCTTGAGTGTCTTCATTATATGCAATATTAATATAAGATATCTTGATGAAGCGTAATATTGATGTTAAAAAAGAAAACTCATATTTCTTGGGATTATTTAGTTTTTATCTTAAGATTTGATTTGGCCGAAAGTTAAAGAAAAAGCCCACGATCATCATTCAAGCTGTTATTTAATTTGGTGAGTAGTGATAACTCAATGATGGTTAATATGCATGTCATATAACATCCATTATAATGCTTAATAACAGGTTTGAGCATCAATTTTCCAATGTAATTGATTTTTTTTTTTCCTGTTATGATTTTTTTTATATTTCAATGTGAAAGACATTGCAGCATTATGGTTCTCGGACAAAGTTGGAGAACATGGAAAAATGGGGATTGGAAGTTTGATATGCTTAATGTTGATGAATTTAGCTGCTTGCCCCACTTAACAGAAGACCACTTGTATGCCATTTCCATTATGTTACAAAAGGTGCATTAAGCACTTTCTGAGATGATCAGGCAAGGACGAGGACATGAAGGACACCTTCTCATTATATTAACTATTTGTCTTTTCTACGGCAATGTAACAACTAGCATTTTTCATAATCTTAACTATTGAAAACCATTTCTAGCATTTATGTTGAGGCTGCTTCTTTCCAGCTCAAATCTTTGTCAAATCTTGTCAGGGCTTTTGACCCAATGATGAGATTAGTGTGAAAATAGATGGATAGCTTTGACGATATGATGCTTAAGGAAAATATGCAATTTGCAGATGCTTTTTCTTTTTTATATTGGATGAGTTTTGATCTATTGATCTATTCTTTTTTGTCATTGCCAAATATTTGGATGCTATTGGAAATCTAATCTTCATATCATTACATTTCAGATTGATAAATTGTTATTGTGCACTGGGTTGATTGATGTTGTAATTTTTTATAGTTCATAAATTAGCACCAATACTTATTAATCTTTAATTGCATTCTCAAAATTCTACAATTTCATCTACAGCCTGGATTTGGTTTCCAACAACAGCTTATTCCTGGAATGCGGCCCACAGGGGCACCTATGCCAAATTTCTTAGTGCCCCTAGTCCAACAAGGTCAGCAGATGCATCGCCCAGGAGGTAGGCGTTCTGGAGTAGGACCTAGACAACAAATGCAGCAGTCTATGCCTCTAGTTCAGCAACAGGTCTGCGATCATCCTCTTTGCATTCGGAGATGTTTTTCCCTTTCTGACCTTTTGCAATATTATATTTATATGGTATATTTCAGCAATATTCACATAATTGCAACTGGTTGTAAATAAAACATGATAAAACAGGAGAGGTGTTGAATGGGTTAAGATCCACATTGTGTTTTAAATTGGTTTTGCACTAGTTCTGATTTATTTGAGGGGGTGAGGCAACTAGTTATATATGTGGTAGATACTGATTTGTTAAAAATTAACTGACTGGTCAGGTAGATGCCTGAAATGAGCAGTTCTAACCTCATTAGAGGCATCTGAGTGCTGGATTTGCAAAAAGCATCACGGAAAGATCAAGCACATTGTCACACTTTTCGATGATAAAATTAAGCATGCATGATAATAGATGGAGGAGAGTACAGATGGGATCCATGCTTACACTGAGAGACATAGGGTGCGCAAGTATGGTCCATCTAAATTTTGAGCTGTGCACAGCTGTATGTCTGATGTGTTTTACTTCTCGATTTCTCATCAATGAAATCTGAAATATTGCTATATGATGGTCTGGTGCTTGGTCCACTTTGTTGATTTTTCTGCCTGCATGATTTGGAGCTACGCAATATGAATTGTTACTTTGTCGCAAATGCAGTAATTTTACTTCTTGATTGTTCCAGTGATCCTGATTTGTATAGTGCAAAATGTGTATTCATATTATTTTTTGCCAAAATTGGATAGCAGATGTTTCCAAGGGGCCGTGTCCAGCGCTACCCTCCTGGACGCAACATGCCTGATATTCCAATACCAGGTGTTGTTGGAGGGATGCTATCTCCCTATGACATGGGAGGTTTGCCCATGCGAGATGCTCCTATGTCACAACCTATTCCCATTGGGGCATTGGCTTCAGCCCTTGCAAATGCTACTCCTGAGCAGCAAAGGATGGTATGTCTTTTCACTAGATGCATCTCCTACCAGTTACCGTGTGCAACTTTTTTTCTTTGTATATGTTTTTAAACTGTTATGCCATTCTGTTAGTAGTACATATTTGTTGGGATAACATGTCTCACACATATTATATTATGCGGCAGAGTAATGTTTGTTTCTTTAACTAAAACCAGCACCAAACTATGGGTAAAAATGAGTGAACCTCCTGAAACTCCATGGCCATACATGGCCCATCTCCCAGCCACTTGATGGTCTCTGCATTTTCAGATTGACCGAATCCATCTCTGGGCTTGAAATCCTTGTCACTTGCTTTCCTGTGGAGCCTATCACTGACCACAAATTGTTCAGGATGCAGATATTATGCTCATATATTTGAAGTATACCATTATGCTTGGTCAGTGGGGACTATCTTAATGTCCCATGATCAGTTACTGTGTTTGATTTGTGATTCTGAAATGATCCACTGATAATGATTCAAATGTTTTTCCTGTCTAGATGCTGGGTGAGAATCTGTACCCACTAGTTGAGCAACTCGAACATGATCATGCAGCCAAAGTTACAGGGATGCTACTGGAGATGGACCAGACCGAGGTCCTGCATCTGCTGGAATCTCCAGATGCCCTGAAAGCGAAAGTTGCAGAGGCAATGGAAGTTCTGAGGAACGTCGCACAGCAGCATCAGGCTAATGCCCCCACTGATCAGTTGGCGGCGTTGTCCCTGAATGATGGCCTTGTTTCTTGAGATCGCAGAGACTCGATTAAAATAATACCGGACACCGTCTGGTGACAAACAGCTGGTCTTTTGAGGTTATTTTGGCTTGGTTTTTGTTGGATTGGGTGTCAACTATGCCATTGTCGACCTGTTTGTCAGTGGAAACAATGATTGAATCTCCTGGATCATCGTATTGTATTGGCTTGAATTTGACTTACTACTGCTGCTTGCAAGTGTTGCAGGTATGATATGGTCATTGGCATTGGGAATCCAGGAATTGCTGGCACAACATGAGACGGACACCTACGCTAAAGTAGACAGCATATTCTTCGCCTCAGCAGTTTAACCATGGCCTTCAGGTGCGTTTTCTCACCTTGTCATGCGCTAAAACCAAGAAAGCCGCATTGGTTTAGTCATCCCTCACCATGGGTTGAGCGAACAACCCTTTAGGGTTCCGAGTGCCTTGACTGTCCAAGCCAATGGACATTGGCATCTGTTAACTTTCACCAGTCTGATCTTTGTAGTCTGTTGTTTCCGTGAGGCAGAACAAGGAACGAGCTTGGGGAGACTTTGTCCCACTTGTGTAGAGAGAGAGAGAGAGAGAGAGAGAGAGAATTATTTGCATTTGAGATGGGTAATGGGTTCGGAACATGAAAGACCTAGGTTCGAGGGAGTTAGTACGCACGTGTCTAAAGTATCGCTTGGGTGGCGATTAGATCAGATCGAAGTTATGAGATGATGTCAACAATGACTAGACATCATAGGAATTGATAGTCTAAAAAGCTTTTAGACTCCATGCGTTTTGACCACCAAGTTGGACTTTCGATGAGAGCAGCTCTAGTTTCGACAATTTGGTTCACAGAAAATAGTAGAGATTTTGGAAGTGGAGTTGATCCGTATAGTCTAAAAGTATGCAAAAAAAAAAAAGAAAGTTTAATGTGACATGACCAATGACCGCTTGCTTCATCTTTGTCAAACCCTCATGCTTCTTTACTCCCTCTCAAGAACATGATGGCACGATCTTCTCTACAGAGATCATGTTTTCTTCAATGTCTGCACTATTTATTGAGCTGGACATGGAAGTTTTGACATGGCCAACCCTTTCAGTCTAAAGAGTAATTTCTTAGACTGCATCATTTTTTTGACATCATTAGAACATATTTATACAATACTGGGTCAATAGATGTCTCCTTAGTGCACACTCTACACAGGACAACTGTTTACATAGATCACATTTCAATTTGATCAAATTAGGTGGAGAATATTCATCTGCATTTATGTTGACCAACCTTAAGAAACACACCTTGCTTTGACCATCATAATGTTAAATCTCCCTTCAAGTATACCTAAATCATCATTCTAATTGAATCATTCAATTGGTTCTTTAATCCCTTTTCTGCTTTTCTTTAAAGGAGGCGAAAGGCCTCGATCATGTCAATGACGGTCGTTAAGCCCTTAATTTTCTTATGACAACCTAATATTATTCGATCATTCCTTTACTGGGTCAATGGTATGATTCTGAACTCTTGTCATCAAAGGTGCAGTCCTTTGTCATCTCGTATGTCGTCTTTTTGTCCCGTGGCCAAGTGCATGATACCTTCTGCTGGCACATAAATGACAGGAAAGGAAATGTAAAAGGACCACCATTTCCCCTCTTGCATTTATGTATGTATGTATGTATGTACATATATACATACATAGGTATGTATGTATATACCTATGTGACCAGCAACACATAGGTATGTATGTACAAATATACCTGGAGGATTATACTACTGCCTGTAAAAAACAAAATACATCTACTTTATAATGCTATTGCTGCTAAAAATCTGCTCCTGTTTTTTTTTTGTTTTTTCTTCATACGTATGACGTGGTCAAGTCCTATACGGATAGTTCTTTATCATCTAACACGGGAGGAAATATGCACCACACGAATATGATCGAACTTGGCACTTGAACAGTCAAGTGTTAGGTGTCGCAAAAAGATTTGAACCTATGATCCTTTGAAAGGATTTTTTTTTAATTTTTTTATGATCATCTTCCTTTGTTGTTTTAGGTCTGGTTTTCTTGCTCCTTCACAAAACATTACATTTTTTCCTGAGGATGTATATTATTAATTAATAAGGCAATTAAATATTTATTTATGCTTTTGAATTTTTATCTCTCTTCTTATCCCATTTAAAGTTATGTAAATAGTGGAAAAAAAAACTAATGCATTATTTTATGTGTGATAAGATAAATCGAGATGGATTTTGATGTAGCCATTGAAAGGAATGGCGGGTGGATCATCTGAAGCCTGTCTACTGTTCGAAGAAAAGTCAACATGCCGGCGGTGTCGGTAGTGGAATGGAGGATCCCAATTGCATTATTATTCACATCACTTTCTTCTTAGTTTATCGCCTTGTCTTCCTCGTCACACCTCCGTCGCCACAATTCTTCCATTAGGATAAGACAACGGCCACAACTTAGCTGAGCCACACCTCCTCTCTATCTCTTTCTTTCTCCGCCACTATCTCTCCTGAAAAGTCCTCCCCCCACCGCTTCTTCCGCACATCATCTCGAGCCTCCGTTTCATCCCCACCAAGCGATCTCGACCGTTGGCTTGAGGAAGAACTAAGCTCCGATCTCTCTCCCACCCATCTCTATCATCGTCGTGTGTATGTGTGAGAGAGAGAGAGAGACCGAGCGGATGGGGGGTTTCCGTAGGCGAGGCGGAAACGTCGACGTCGGCCACTGGGTCACGTGTCCGGTGGTGGCGTGCTGCGCTCCACATCGCCTGTCGGCGGCGGCGGCGGCTGGGATCTCTCTCCATCCTTCCACGTGGCAGCATCTCCTTATCAAGCTATCGCGTCCGTGTCCCGTCTCGCTTTGCCTTGTTTGTTTCTTGCCGACTACGTGTATAATTTCTTGGCCGTTGAAAGGGTTGATTTGACACAATCTACACCGCAGGATTTGTCAAACTACGTAGAATTATTAGCATCTTAGCCGTCGGTTTCCGTCGCCAAAGAGCACAGCTCTTTACATACACACTACACTCACTATTCCGTTTGGCTTTTAGTTATTGTAGTTCTCATCAGCAGCTTTAGTTAATCCCCTCAACATTTTAGTGATAACTATATATGTTATTGAGAGAGAGAGAGAGAGAGAGAGAGAGAGAGGGTGAAGGGATGGAGGGGCAGTGCTGCTCCACCTCCACCAGCGAGGAACCAAGGAAGCCACCGCCGGCAGCGTCCAGGCGGAGGGTGGTGGCGGCGGGAAGCGTTGGCGGCGGCAGGGACAGACCTTTCAGAGGAGTCAGGATGAGGAAGTGGGGCAAGTGGGTGGCGGAGATACGGGAGCCTAACAAGCGGTCGCGGATTTGGCTGGGATCCTACTCCACCGCGATAGCTGCCGCCCGGGCATACGACACCGCCGTCTTCTACCTCCGGGGTCGCTCCGCCAGGCTCAACTTCCCGGACGAGATCCTCGCTGAAGATCCAGAGGCGGAGGGCTTCGGCAGCGGCGGCGTTATGTCGGCCGACTCGATCCGGAAGAAGGCCACCGAGGTGGGCGCGCGGGTGGACGCTCTCCAGGCGACACTGGTACCACCACAGCCGCCACCATCACCGCCGCTGCCGCAGCAACACCACCTTCAGATTCAGTGGCGATCCAAGAATCCTGATTTGAATCAGCAACCGAGCCCGGAGAGTTCCGATGTCGATTGAAGTGCTACAAACGCTATCAGCACATGTTCCATAGCCGGTGAACAAGGATAGAAAAGGACTATAACTTCATTTTCTTGTGCCCTTTTTTCTTGTGTTGATGTCTTTTATCTCTCTAAGTTTGCTTCTTCTTTGAGACTTTTGGTTACGAAGTGGAGTAAGGAAGAAAGATAACGGTGGCTGGCCAAATTCCAAGTCGTAAGAAGGTGAAGACAGATAAGAGAGAAAAGAAGAAGATGACGATGATGATGGAATCCCTAAGTGGCGGGTCCCTTGTGCTGTGTCCACCATCATGCTGTAACCTCAGGAACAAGTCTCTTCTAAGCATGCATGGACTCCTTAAGAACTACTTAGATATTCGTACTAGACTGTAACGCCATGAACATGGCTTTTTCTGTGCATGTGTGGGTGCCAAAGCTACTTTAATCTTCGTGCCGCTATGTTCTCCGGTAACATGAGATGGACGAGTGGTTCGAAATGGACCTGACCGTTGTTTGATTCGAACTGAAATCAGATTAGAATTGTAATCGGAATTGAATTGACTTACGATTCGTTTTGTTAGTGAACAAATATTTCATGGTTGATTAATCAGCACGGCCTGGTCCATGGGTCAATATCGGGAGTCTTCTACTGACTGAGCTGGATGTCGAGGTCGATCGGGCCCTCACGACGGGGTGCTGATTAGCGTTCCTTGGTATGCTGATCCGGGCACTATGTATGCCGTGCTGCATCTCTCCTTCTCCGGGGTGGTTGGCAGCTCGTCTTCGTGAGATGACCGTGTTTTCCTGCAAAAATGGCCCTCGTTGGGATCACCCGATGAGGCCCCTCCGACGAGCAAGTCAATGGAGTGATCAATTGATTTTTCTCTCCCCCCCTTTTTCCTGGATCAGGTCGGGGGTATTTATACCTGCGTGTGGGAATTGGTCGGGCCCTAGTCCAACATGGCCATTGACTCTAGGGGCAGAACAACCTCTCTGATAAGGTGGCATCTTCGAGGGTGCTTGAGCGGCGTCAGACGGCACTGCCCTAACAGCAGACGACACCGCCCCCAACACTTGGGGTGGTCAGGCCGCATAGTCGCACCATTGAAGCTCGACGTGGCATGCACCCCGCGGTTCTGGAGGCGTACGGTGTTGCGTCGGTCTGTAACGTTTGTCGGTGGTTCACATAGGGCCAAAATACACCCTATCACTCCCCACCCCCCTCTCCGAGGCGTGCCGACGGATCGCTGATGGTCCTATTGGAAAAATCTTTGGGGGCGACATCACATGCGCAGCGGAAGAACAAGAAAACAAAATCCTCGATTCCCAAGGAGATGTTCATCGTCGTGCGAAGATTGGTGCGCAAAATCTGCGAAACTAAAAAAAAATTACGTATAGAGTAGATTGTGTTACCTAGGGAGATCGTATATCCCTATTTCCTTACAGATCCTTAGGAGAGGGTGAAGGAGGTCAAGCGTCATCTTCTCTAGCGATGATCCACACAGCAGGGC